GATTGCCGCCGCTGAGCTTCGATCTTGACGGCCACAATCGGCCCGGGCGTGGCGGGGCGCGGCGGGGCGTGGCGGGGCGTGGCGTGAGTGAGGCAAGTAATGCGCTTTGCCTCAAATCCTTTGCCAAATAATCCCGCAGCGGTGAATGTGTGTTCACCCCCCGTCCTTGCCCTCTCCTGCATAGCGCCTGCGGGGAGGGGCGAGAGGCGTACTACACGCCGCCGCACACCCGTGCCGCGTACACCGTCAAAAATCGCGTACCTTAACAACTTTGTGTTCACGAAGACTGTTAACTTAAAAGGCCAAAAACATTAGCCATGATTCGAGGAGTCTGTATTGCTTGAAGGGAGGCATTATTATCCAATTTGCTGAACGCGCTTCGGTTCCTTGAGCAATCTTCAATTGCCTTTGCCCTCCTCTGTACAGTAGGAATAAATAATGGTGGTCCAAAACGGGAAAAAGGAGCCAAGCGGCTCCTGCCACACATCATTACATCTGCACCTGCATGCTGCACTGCCGCCGCCGAGGTCCAGCCCGGCCCAGGGCCTCACTGCTCACATCACGTCCCTCATGTTTATTCAAGGTGACCTAACCCTGTCGGACGCAGGTTGACGAAAACAATCGAGGGTGTAGTCGCGGTCGGTGCATACCGATCAGGCCTTGATCTCTGCGCACCGTGCGACTCCAGGTCCGGAGCTTTAGACGCAGCGGAGGAACGCGATCGCGCCCACATGCTCTTTATCGACTATCGTCGGCCGGTCGGCCGGTACGTCGGTTCGGTCGGTCGGTCTCCCTTGCTCGTACTTACCGACTAGGTCGCTCCACTGTTTACCGACCGTCTTTGTCTCTCTCTATCTCGCTCGCTCGGGAACGGGGTGGGTAATGAGAACAAAGTAGTCGTTAAACGTAGTGGGCGCCGTGTTCGAACTGCAATGTGCAATGCGACTGCCCAACTGCATGGTGCGCAGAGCCCCGCGTTGGCGTGATCCACGTGCGCGGCTGAAGTACCTCGGGCCAATACGCACAAGCAGCACGCCCACCAGCGAAAAACACTTCAAGGAAGCGGCGAAGACCGGTAGCGGTGGCGCCGGCCGGGGGTACCCGCCGCTGGTACCTGTTGGTACCTAAAACCAAGTGCCCAAACTGGGTCTAGAGCCCGGTCCGCCAGCAGGGCTCGGCCAGGGGGGCTCGGCCAGGGGCTCGGCCACACACAAGAAAAATCGAAAGTGATTCCCATAACTCTTTGAAAATGAGAAAGTACAGCGCCAGGCAACAGGGACTATTGGCGTTAAATTTATACGCAGTTCACAGTCCATATCGTGGAGCTGCAGTGGCGGTTGTTACCGAGGTTGGTGGTGCATACTCGTAATTTTGTACTGACGCTTTTACAACCCATGGGCGTCATTTGAAACTCTGCTGCCTGTCTAACTTAGGAAAGCAAAACGAGACAAAATATAATTTTAAGCGAGTAAGTATCTGTGAGCGTCGGGAGCTAAGCGATAGGGAATCGTCGCGTTCGTTTTATTGCAGACTATTTGCTGTTTCTAGAAGAGAGAGAGGGGGAGAGAGAGAGAGAGAGAGAGAGAGAGAGAGAGAGAGAGAGAGAGAGAGAGAGCAGGGAAGAAGGAGAGGCACAGAGAGTCACGACGGTAGAGCGTTAGCTTATAAACTCTCTTTTATTTCATTCGGTCAGTCTCCTTCGGAAGGAAGGAATCCCCTTTCCTCTAGAGCCCCCCCCCCCCCCTTCCCCTCCCTGTTTTCCACGGCTCATGTCAAGGCAGATTGAGTGCGTCGAAGGTGACAGTTAGTTGCCCCGAGCAGTCCAGGGTGCCGAAATGAACGAATCGGCTCGGCTCGGCACACCTCGACCCGGCACCCGGCCCGGTGTGGCTCGGCTCGTCCCGGCTCGTGCCGCACAGACTGGCCACTAACTGGGCTCCCTATACCCATTGGGCACTTTCCCATTAACGATCACTTACATAATTGCCAGGATGAATTTTTTTTAGCAACAGTCCAGAATGTGCCGAACTGTTCAATTAAATGAAGACACTACCATGCGAACTCTACAAGTTTTGCAATAAGACGCTGATTGCAAATACCAAAGAGTTAACGTCAATTATTTCCACGAGTAAAGTAGCCTGACCGGGGGGTTAATTGTCTACTCGGTTCGCCTTTCCTTCCGAGGGAGCGCGCGCGCCTCCCAGTCGCTTTGGCGGGAGAACCAAACAGCTCCAGAGGAGGCAGGGCGGGCATTCTCCGCGTGATGAGCAACGAGTAGAGTGAGGCCCACATAGTTAGCACGCTACACCACCACGCATCACATCACACCGCACTTGTATGCACCGGGGGAAAAACGAAATGAACAAAAAACAACAACAACAACGTGGAGCCACAGTGAGTCGGTGACCTAAACGCGTGGTCGCATGAAAGGTGTCCATATACACTAAAAAAATATTGTCATGATGTCGACGAAACACACAAATCACGGCTAATTTTTAGTTCGGCATAACCCACGACGACATTCCTTAATTAATAATAAGCTTTGGTATTGTCGTTATGGTGACAAGAAATTTTTACAGTTTATGTACCCCCCCTTCCCCCGTGTTGTCCTAATTTCCACTGTGCATTCTAAGAGGCGATTGATCGATTATTTTTCTCGGGTGCACTATTGCGCCCGCCGTCGTGCGTATTATGTCATTCCCTCGGAGACAGTCACAACGTCTCATTAGAGCGGTTTCGAGGAGAAATGCAGCGCTGCTGCTGCTTTGAATAAAGCCAAGTAGTACGTTCGTTGCGATTTTTTCTTTTCGTGCATATTAACGATCGCGTTATTATCCTCGCATTCCCTCCCGACATTACCCGCGATGCTGTCATTCAGCGCGGCGGTAATCGCGGCGGTAATGCCAGACATTGTGACTGGGATGTGCGAACAGCCTTGGGGGGAGACATGCAGGTAGCCACTACACCGAATGCGGAGAAAAAGAAGGAGGGAAATTGCAGCGATCACTCTTTTCTTTTTTCCCTTGAGGAGGATGTCGGTGAGTTGCGCGTTCTTTTCGTCTGCCCACTGCACTGCACCCAAGCCTGCAACGCCTTCATGAGAAATGCATAGTGCATCGCGAGAGAAGCTACACTCCCTGGCCACCCACACCTTGTTGAACAGCAGGTGCCAAGGCGGCAATACTCTGCCAGAAAAGGGGGGAACGAAAGTAGGGTGAGTAGGTTTAAGTTCTGGCTTAGTACAGAAAGAGAGGGGGGGGGGCATCTTACAGCTAGAATCAATTTTTTGACTACCTATTCGGCGTTGGCGTCAAGTAGGAAGCGACTGGCGAAGAACGTGGTCCCTTCACAGAGATGTCGGAACGGATATCCAGGTCCGTTGTTCCGTTGTTAGCTTCTTCATGGCGGGACTGAAACCGTCCCTATCCCCCTCTCTCTCTCTCTCACTCCCTCTCGGAAACGAGACTCGCTTCACTTTCTACAAGGCGCGGGAACGCCAGACCATGCGCAGTGCAGAGTAGTGTGCATTCAGAATGCATTCGGTGTGCGAGAGAGACGAAGAGAGGGGACGAAAGGACCGGCTAGACTAAGAGTGTCTACTGAAAATGGTGGGGCAGAATTTTGGTGGCTAAAATTGGAGGCGTCCACTCTCACCTCCTCACCCGCACTCGCGAGAGTAACTTTTGCGCCCAAACGCGGCGGGGGGAGGCCTGGCTGGTGTAACAGGACTTGCTCGCCGCTGTCTCCCGGCCCATAATTATCGACTGCTGCCCAGCTGGCCAGCGCCAGAACCCTGGGCCAGCCCGGGCCAGCCACAGCGCACCGACACGATTTTTTTTCATACATCAAATATCTAGACGAGGTGTACGGGTCATTATCAATTACTGCAAAGAGCTTCATCGAGCAGAGCCTCAGAGCCGCTCTCTCTCTCTCTCTCTCTCTCTTACACACACACACACACATATTCACAGGGAGTGGTGAAGACAATACACACACACAGACACTCACACTCGCGCGCGCGCACACACCGCAAACACTCATCATACTCAACGGGCTCACGTAGATGCACCGCGAACAAGTAACAACACCCCAACACCTCATACTATTTCATGGGTCGAGCGCGGATTACTTAACACGATGACGACCGAGTCATAACACACATACATACTCTATCCCCC